GACGCTCTTCCGATCTCCCCAAAACCCCAAAACCCCATAATGACTAAATTGTTAATGTGGGGAGATAGAGTAGATAAATTAAAATATTCGAAGTTTAGATTAATAAATTTTGATTAAATGGATAAAGGAGGGGACGACGATAATAAAGAACAGGATAGATATCTGCCAATTGCTAACATCGGCCGTATCATGAAGCAGGCTTTGCCAAAGGATGCAAAGATAGCAAAAGAAGCCAGAGAGACAGTTTAGGAATGCGTATCTGAGTTCATATCATTTATTACTAGCGAGTAAGTACCCAATAGACATTTTAATTCAATTAATTAGAGCCTGTGATAAATGCAAAAATGATAAGAGAAAGACAATTAATGGTGAGGATTTGATCTATTCTTTATATCAGCTTGGATTTGAGAGATACCTAGAGAATCTTAATCTTTACTATCAGAAATACAAAGATGTAAGCATAAATGCAAGTTCATTTATTAAATGATTATAGGCACAAAAACACAATGATAAGGGCGATTTAGCGAGTAAGAATAATGAGATGCTGGTCAATTCTGCTTAGGAGGCAGTTCAACAGAGCAAATAGAATAAGAATGGATTGAATAGAGTTAACTAAGAAGAGGATGAAGATGCAGATGAAGATGATATCGATGATGAGGAGGAAGATGAAGATATGGAAGATGATGATCAGTAAGATGAAGATGATGATATGGAGGAAGATGAGACTCCTGAGATAGCTAAAGCTAAAAAGACTAAGGGATCTGAAAAGAAAGATAAAGCAAAGAAGTGAGAGAATAGTTGTGATTGCTAAGAATTTTGAGAGAGTGTATATAATATTAATTAGCTTAACATAGTTACAATAATATATAAGAACTTATGATTATAGTTGATAAATTGAGGATTAAGGAAAGTTAAAATCACTTGATAGTTATATAGATTTATATATCGCACAAAATAAGGGAAAAGTCTCATTTCCATAGAGACTTGAATGAAAAATTCTCAGTTGAACTCATTCTTAATGTCTATCTCCTAAAGTACTTTTCATGCTGTCTTCGGATTGATATTACTTATGTTAGCTGAAGTTATAATGGTGCTGGCAGCAGCTGAATGGACCTAGAGCTGGTTTGATATTTGTCGTAGTATTTCGTTCTCAGATACTGCCTGTACCAGGCCAGCCTTTTTAACAGCTTTTTGCAAAGCTCCTGGAGGTAGATTAAGATCAAGTTAGTCCAACTCTCTGTTTATAGAGCCATTGATGTATGCTTGCACAAGGGTTTTCTATATTTAATGATTATAATGGGTAATTTTAATTTACTGCTAGCTTTTCTCTCTCAGTTTTGTTGCCACCGTTATGTTTGATTTTAATATGTAGATTCAAACTACCCTCACTCCCGTAAAACTTTCCACAGTCTGCGTATGGGCACTAAAATGAAATTTATAGCAATAAATGACTTACAGTGAAATCTCTTTCAATCTCAGCAGCTGTTCTTCTAAGATGCTTCTTTCTCTTGTGCATTCTGTCCTTACTCATTGTCATTGGAGGGGCATTCCCATTAGTTCCCTGAGAGCTTCCTTCATTATTGTTACTTTGATCGTTGTTAGTAGACTATTAAGGTTATGAGCCATCTTTTGACTTCATTTACTGTAGCAATTCTTGCTGTTATTTCTATTGCATAATAAGCTTCTATTGCTACTGTTGTTTTTAGAGCTTCTATTGATTAATTCTGTGTTAAAATTTATGAGGGTAGGCAAGTACCTATGGAATTAAATTGTGCTCGTAGTAATCCTCAAGGTTATAAATTTTCTTAAGATTTTTATAGTTGGAGTGAGCTGTTTATTCGATGTCAGCTACCAAAATCTCATTTTAGAAATAGAGTCTCCAGTACTCCTTGAAGTAGTCCATCTTGTCCTGGAAATTAGGAACCTAAAGTGGAGGCATATTTCTGGGGAGCTTGACTGGTGACTGAGAATTTCTTCTTGAACCGTTAGCTGAGGAAGATCTTGAGCATCTGACTACTTTGCCTCTGGGTAGGTTGATTCTCTCAGTCGCAAATCTGTATCTAACTTCAGGTGACTCATAAGACTGCTTATCGTCGATGTTTTGATTGTGGTGATTAGTTACATTTTTGCCATTAGGGGTTTTAGTAGTTATTTGTTTGGTTTGTGACTTCAGGTTGAGTGTTTTGTTGGCTTTTACCCCTTCAGACTTCTCTCTAATGTTTTCTTTTGAGGTCCCTGGATTGAATTCACTAATATTCAGTTTTTTCCTGTCGCCTGATTGAGTTGATCTCAAATTGTAAGCTTATTGAATCGGCTGTGATGTATTTTGCTTTGCTGATGTATTATTTCCAGAACCTTTACTCTCACTTTCTTTTTACTCCTGGGTATTCTAGGCTTCGCCTTTCTAAGAAGTGGTTTTAAGTTCTTTAATTGAACTAGCCGTATTTACTTGAGATAGCTAAGGAGTCTTTGTAGGTGACTTCTTATGCGGAGATATTTGTGAAGATAAGTTTTGCGATCTGCGAGTAGGACTCATAATAAATTTTAAATCGACTTTATTAAGCAAGACTAATAAAACAACGCAAATTAATTAAGAAACTTTTTTGAACAAAGATCATTTAGTAAATTAAACACTCATACATAAAATATTTTGTTATAATTAAACAGTCAATGAATTATCATGATGTCAAAATGTAGTTATTTCATGAGTCTTCATTTTCCTCTCATTAATTCTGCTTCGCTTGCTTTTTGAGCTTGTCTTTTTCCATTTGCTCCATTAACATCATTTCAGCTGAAGCCCCACTCCCTCCATTGATATTTGCATTATTCCCAGGAGTAGTGCCATTATTAGCATTAATATTCTGATTACTATTGTGGACATTGCTCTATTGCTTTTGAGCAGCAGGTGGCTTGTACTTGACATTGTATCTCTCAACAGAGTCTAGGTAGAAATTATCCTCAAATATCAGAGAGTGATCCTCCTTCTTATCAAATGTGACTATCTCACTCTTGAAGTCACTGTTCATTGGATGCTCGCTTTAACAACAACCCATTATAGTATTCTTAAGTTTATTTTGAAAGTTTGAAGTAACTAAGATGTATAAGTTTATATTGTATGTTTATAATCTTTAGAAATTATTGTTTAAAAATTTAAATAATTCTCAATTTATAAAATTAAAACAATCAAAGTCGTCTTAGTCAAAGCAAATGATATAGTTATTGGATATTATTGATTGATTCCACAAAGTAAATACTGGGATCTCAATCATTATAGAATTCTTTCCTGCTCTTCTATTTTTATCAAAACCCCTGGTACTTCATTTTCAAGAATGTCAAAAACATCAGAATTTCTTAGCCAAATAGTGTCTAACTCCAACAACAGCAATTAATCTTATTCACTCATATCTTTATTACTTGTATTCTTAGGGCCATTACTCTAACTGCTTGTTAAATGGATCTCTTGAATCTTTTGACTGCTTTCCTTTAATCTTTCAGTTAATTTCGATTAAGTCATTAGCATTAAATCAGTTGCTGAAAGTATATAAGAACTATCAAGTTGATAGTTGACCCAGGTAAATCTCTTCAATTCTTTGGCAAACTTCTACTTATAGTAATCAAGCTAATGCTTATAGTTTTAAAGCTACTTAGTTTCCTAATAATGCCTTAAATCTAAATTATACTTACAGCTGGAAGCAAATACTGATACGCCTCTTCATCAGTCTTGCAAGCAAGAACTAGTTCAGGAACGACATCAGGGTCTAGTCTCCATTGCGAAACAGTTCCTGTTTTTAGGTAATGACCCTTCCTCCATTATAAGTCATTAAAATTAGTGTCGTATGTTCGCTATAACTACTCTATCATTAATCTGTATTCTTATAATGCACTTGACTCCTCATAACTGCTCTTAATTAAAGGTTTTATTTAGTCAGTGATAATAGCTTTATTCTAAACGATACTTTAGCCTATCTAGTCCATTATCCTTGAAAACTGAATCATCATGTCTTTCATTTTAGAAAAGTTCGTCACTGAATTCATCAAAGACAACCTTCTCATTTCAATCGCTATGTCAAAGTAATCATTGGCCAGCTTCTGTGAATTAGCTTTTAGACTCTTACACTTTCAAAGCAAGCTATTATAAGATTCTTAATAATTTATCTGGAACTTACAAATCATTAATGTATTTAGACTGGTCAATGAATTAAGCTAGTTTCACATTATCATATTATATTTTCTAGTTCAAACCTAATTCTATTGTTCCATTCAAGACTCTCAAATCTTTGAATAGCTAAGGACCTTATACCTGTTAAGTTTATAGGAAAAGCTGCTATATGACTTCTTGATCTCTTTCTCTTAGAAATTCCAAAACAATATTATCAGCTCTCATTAATTGCAAGGATAATATTTGATACAGAAATCTTTCTAACGCTTTGCATATCTTAGCTTTTTTCCTATCACTTGGCTCGCCAATCTTAACTTGGAACAAGGGTATTGTTGGAATGATAAGTTGGGGATATTATTTGATAAGATGATCTCTTAGTAAATTAAAGTCTTCAATCGACCTAGACACATCCCATTGAAAAGGTAAGCTTTATATTAAGAAATTCCATATGGGATTTGCGGAGTCAGCTGAGCTTTAAAATCTATAAAATCTTGATTAATTGAACTAATTACGGGCTGAATTTGACATGGCATGAAATATTCTTATTTTCATTAAGAACATTTGATTTGTGCTTCTATGTCTAGATCTGTATCTTTTGTTCTCTAATAAAGGCATCTGGGGGCATATAGTCATCATGACTTTCAATTAGAATAGTAGGCTATGATTATCTTTAATTGTCCTAAATTGCATCATAAGCATTTTGTTGTTACATCGATAACTTCATTTAGATAATGCTTGAAGTCCTAGAAGTTATCTGATTTTCTACTCACATCATCAACATACTTTCTCAGTTCATCTATGTTTACATCATAGATATTTTTATTTCCTAGATTCAAATCATTCATGTATGCTGAATTCTGCTTACCATTCTCAAATAAAGAAACATATTCCTAGAGGTCGCAATCATTCAGTCCACTAGGGTATAGCTTTTCTTGAATGATTTTAAATTTAGATGATCTATCTTTCTGTAGTTCTCTAATTGATGCAAGCGCTCTAGCATTGCAAAGTAGCTCTTATTCATCAACATAAGTTTCCTAGAGCAATTACTGCTCTGGTATCTATGGATTGATTTATTGCAATAGCTTTGGAGCTTTTGTCAGGTAGCTTAGTATTTTCATGAATTTGCTATAATTATTTTATTATATATTCTATGTCTATCTTTATATTATTATAAAATCATGCTATAGAATGATACTTGAAAGTGGGGTTTTGGGGTTTTGGGGTTTTGGGG